GGCTTTCTAAGTTTTGTTAGACTTATCCACATGCACACGAAATTCTTGTGTGTATGTGTGCTTGTGCGTATAGGCATGTATGATTGATTTTGTGTAATTGCGTTTGTGTATGTCACTGTGTGTGTGTGATTTTTTTATTTTATTTTCTGTGTGCGTGCGTGTGTTCTCCCCTCCCCTTCCCCTTATCTGTCTCCCTCTCCATGCTCTTGTCTCATCCCCCTCTCCCTCTCTCTTCTCCTTTCTCTCCCTCTTCTATTATTTCCCCCCTTTCTTCTATCTCTTCTCATCACTTTCCCTCTCCACGCGTCCCTCTTCCTCTCTCCCTCTCTCCTTCTGTCTTCCTCTTCCTCTACCTCTCCCTCTCTGTTTTCATCTCCCTGCTCCCCTTGATCAGTTTCAACCAACCCATCTACCTTTATCTCTATCTTCTCCTCTATTATCTGCCAATATTTTTACTTGCCCTTCGATTTTGTGGCGTGTAAAAGCTCAAGAGAAAGAATGTTCCTTTTTTATATCAATTTCCTTTGATTCTGATTTTATTTGCTTACCAACACCTTTTACCATATCTATAATCAGGTCCCCAGTCTCTTCCTTAGATAAGCCTTTTTTCTCGACAAAAGAAATAAACATAAGAACGCAAGCAAAATGCAACATCTGACTTGCACTTTCCACTCACTGCAAGGTCAGAAGCGACCTATATAAACCATTCCACAAGATCTTACTCACACACACTCCTCTGTTGTGGCCACAACAAGCCTGCTTAACCCAAGATGAAGTACTTGGTGAGTACAGTGGAGGGTTTTCACTTGATTATATTTCTGTTATTGACTACAGCAGATCTACAACTTGTCTGAACTTACTTTCAGGCGTTTGTGCTCCTGGCGGCTGCCGTTTGCGCTTCCGAAGTCGAGAAGCGAGAGGCGGAGCCCAGCGTGATTCCTCACTCCGGCTACAGAACTCCACTCTATCCTCGATACTCCTATGGACCATCCTTCCCGACTCACTACCATAAGAGATCCGCAGACGCTGAGCCTTCCACTCTTTATGGCGTCAGGGCCGTCATCCGCACTCCTGTGTATGGCGTGTATGGACACAGCGTTCACACACTCCACAAAAGGGCTGCTGACGCTGAAGCTTCTCGACTTTACTCCCACGGAAGCTATTCTCCCTTCCCCGTAGCCTACGGAGGATACCATGGTCACCGGTTCCACAAGAGGTCTGCTGAGCCAGAAGCCGAGGCTGAGGCTTCTCGGGGCTATCTCCCTTACCTTCCATACGCTCCACTTCCAGCTTACGGCCGACACATCTACAAGAGGTCTGCTGAGCCTGAGGCAGAGCCATCCCACCTGTACTCTCCTGTCTCTTACGCACATACTTCTCGTCCTTCTGTTTATCGTTCCCTCTATTACTGAGCCGAGACATAATGGACAACGTGCAACAGGAGCCATGGTGTGTCATCTAAGGAATTCCTTCGAAAAAGATACAATAAACTTTTCCAATCGGAAACTCCATTTCCTCTCCTTGCTAACATTGCTGTCAGCAGATCAACATATAAAGTTTACAATGGAATGTATTGGACTGTTTTTGAACACAGACGTAAACAAAAGCGTCATTTATCGTTAAACCCTAAATACAAACAGGACCTTAAACATTGTTCACGTGGTACGCTGATAACATAGAAGAAAAATAAGTCATAGTATATGATTGCGATCTTTCGCAATTTTCATATGCTTCCCTCCTGCTAAAACAGAGGCAGGCCATCATGCCTAAAATCCCGTTTAGAAATCTGTACTTGTCTCCCATAATCAAAACGCTCTTACCAGAAAAATATATACACATATATATTCATATATATATATATATATATATATATATATATATATATTATATGTAAATATTATATATATAGTTGAAAATGGAAAGCATATTTGACAAATGTCATTTATATTTCAAACCTAAAACCAAACATGACCTGAAATATTGGTAATGTTATATATTAAGTTATAAAATATGTCAACGATCTAGGCAATTTTCATTTGCTTTCCTCTCTCATTTTCTAGAAAGATGGCCTGCTCAGCGGGAGGCCAGTCCGGAAACCCTTTCCATTGCGTTCTTATTTCCCTTTGTGATTCCACCTCCGTAGCAAGGCAGTTAGGACAGGTGGAGAAGCACACTGCATTCGAACACGGGTCAGACCTGTAGTTCACTGGTTGTTTTATGAGCTTTGGGAAAATGTTAGTGTTGCTAAAAACAAAGATAAATTTAATCTGAGGTCGATTGCCTTATAAAGATATTTTTAATTGTTTTCTGATGTCAGAGTTTGCCTTATCAATATATGGTAGTTTCACATATTTAGGATCTCTTTTGGCAGTGGAGATGGTGTTTTGGAGTTTTTTTTTCCGTGTATTGTAAATATTTTGAAAATAAATACGAATTGCACTTTCAGTTTTTCTATTTGTGTATATTCATGAGGTATAGCTGAGGAATCGAAGACCTAGGACAGCGAAGGTTGGTTTTCGGTAAACATTAGTATGAAAAATGTCATTATTATTGGTGGAGTATCCATTAAAGGGTATTTTTTTTCATATCAGTTACTTTTGATGCTCGGGATTAAAGTGAGAAAATAGTTTATGTGAAGAATGTTTCATTGTGATTATAAACACAAAAGATCTATCACCACCAATTTACCTAACTATCCATTCAGCTATGTATAAATGTATGTATCCATCTCTCTCTCTCTCTCTCTCTCTCTCTCTCTATATATATATATATATATATATATATATATATATATATATATATGTATGTATGTATACACATTTAAATACTTTATGTCTATTTATCTATCAACCTACTCCAACTAGCTATCCATCTATTAATTCATCTGCCCATTTCTCTTCCTTCCTCTCTATATATACACATACATATATCTGTTATATGTCTATTTTTCTTTTGCCTGCCTGCCGGCTCATTTACTTACCCGTCTCTCAGTTTATATATCAAGACATACATGATACTATGCATATTATCGTGGCCTTACAACGTGTAACAGTTAACCAGCACTGCTTGGCCATGCGAACAAAATCAATAAATATTTCATTGGGGGGAATTTGAGGCTTTCTCAGTTATTGTTAGACTTATCCACATGCACACGAAATTCTTGTGTGTATGTGTGCTTGTGCGTATAGGCATGTATGATTGTGATTTTGTGTAATTGCGTTTGTGTATGTCACTGTGTGTGTGATTTTTTTTTTTTCTGTGTGCGCGCGTGTCCCCCCCCCTCCCCCTTATCTGTCTCCCTCTCCATGCTTCCCTCTTTGTCTCATCCCCCCTCTCCCTCTCTCTTCTCCTTTCTCTCCCTCTTCTATTATTTCCCCCTTTCTTCTATCTCTTCTCATCACTTTCCCTCTCCACGCGTCCCTCTTCCTCTCTCCTTCCTCTCCTTCTGTCTTCCTCTTCCTCTACCTCTCCCTCTCTTTTTCATCTCCCTGCTTCCCCTTGATCATTTCAACCAACCCATCTACCTTTATCTCTATCTTCTCCTCTATTATCTGCCAATATTTTTACTTGCCCTTCGATTTTGTGGCGTGTAAAAGCTCAAGAGAAAGAATGTTCCTTTTTTATATCAATTTCCTTTGATTCTGATTTATTTTGCTTAACACCTTTTACCATATCTATAATCAGGTCCCCAGTCTCTTCCTTAGATAAGCCTTTTTTTCTCGACAAAAAATAAACATAAGAACGCAAGCAAAATGCAACATCTGACTTGCACTTTCCACTCACTGCAAGGTCAGAAGCGACCTATATAAACCATTCCACAAGATCTTGCTCACACACACTCCTCTGTTGTGGCCACAACAAGCCTGCTTAACCCAAGATGAAGTACTTGGTGAGTACAGTGGAGGGTTTTCACTTGATTATATTTCTGTTATTGACTACAGCAGATCTACAACTTGTCTGAACTTACTTTCAGGCGTTTGTGCTCCTGGCGGCTGCCGTTTGCGCTTCCGAAGTCGAGAAGCGAGAGGCGGAGCCCAGCGTGATTCCTCACTCCGGCTACAGAACTCCACTCTATCCTCGATACTCCTATGGACCATCCTTCCCGACTCACTACCATAAGAGATCCGCAGACGCTGAGCCTTCCACTCTTTATGGCGTCAGGGCCGTCATCCGCACTCCTGTATGGCGTGTATGGACACAGCGTCACACACTCCACAAAAGGTCTGCTGAGCCAGAAGCCGAGGCTGAGGCTTCTCGGGGCTATCTCCCTTACCTTCCATACGCTCCACTTCCAGCTTACGGCCGACACATCTACAAGAGGTCTGCTGAGCCTGAGGCAGAGCCATCCCACCTGTACTCTCCTGTCTCTTACGCACATACTTCTCGTCTTTCTGTTTATCGTTCCCTCTATTACTGAGCCGAGACATAATGGACAACGTGCAACAGGAGCCATGGTGTGTCATCTAAGGAATTCCTTCGAAAAAGATACAATAAACTTTTCCAATCGGAAACTCCATTTCCTCTCCTTGCTAACATTGCTGTCAGCAGATCAACATATTAAGTTTACAATGGAATGTATTGGACTGTTTTTGAACACAGACGTAAACAAAAGCGTCATTTATCGTTAAATCCTAAATACAATCAGGACCTTAAACATCATTCACATGGTACATGATTTTGTTCGCATGGCCAAGCAGTGCTGGTTAACTGTTACACGTTGTAAGGCCAAGATAATATGCATAGTATCATGTATGTCTTGATATATAAACTGAGAGACGGGTAAGTAAATGAGCCGGCAGGCAGACGAAAAGAAAATAGACATATATATATGTATGTGTATATATAGAGAGGAAGGAAGAGAAATGGGCAGATGAATTCATAGATGGATAGCTAGTTGGAGTAGGTTGATAGATAAATAGACATAAATTATTTAAATGTGTATACATACACATATATAATATAATATATATATATATATATATATATATATAAACATAGATGAATTTAATCTGAGGGTGATTCCTTTATAAACCTTTTTTATTGTTTTCTGATGTCAGTTTCAATTATCAATATATGGTAGTTTCACATATTTAGAATTTCTTTTGGCAGTAGAGATGGTGTTTTGGATTTTTTTTTTTTTTTATATTGTTGTCAATATTCTGAAAATAAATGCGAATTTAAATTTCATGCTTTTCTATTCGTGCATATTCATGAGGTACAGCTGAGCAAGCGAAGACCGAGGCTAACGAAAGTTGGTTTTCGATAAACATTGGTATGAAAAATGTCATTATTGTTGGTGGAGAATATCCATTAAAGGATCTTTCTTCATATGACAGTTATTTTTGATGCTCGATATTAAGGTGAGAAAATTAAATATTTTCAACTAGCTATCTAACTATTAATTCATCTGTCCATCTCTCATTCTTTCCATCTATCTATCTATATATGTACACATCTATCTGTTTATATGTTTTTTTACCTGCCTCCCTGCCTACCTACTTACCTATCTACCAGTCTTTCTATCTATCAAGACATACATGATACAATGCATATTATCGAAGCCTTTACAACAAGGCTGTAAAAACTAACCCGAACTGCTTGGCTGGGTGAAACAAAAACAATAAATATTTTCCTTGGGGGAATTTGCTGCTTTCTCAATTATTATTAGACTCATATCCACATGAACGCAAAATTTCTCTCGTGGTGTATGTGTGCTTGTGTGTTATGTGTGTGTGTGCCTGTAACTGCTTATGTGTGCTCTCCTTCTACCCTCCCTTCTCCCCCTTTCTATTTATGTGCCTTTTTCATTCTTCTTTCTCTCTCCGCCTGTATTCGTGTGAAATTTCTCTGTTTTTGTCTCCCAGCCTCCTTCTATGTTTTCATAATATTGGTATATTCTCTCACGTTTTCTCTCCCTTTCTCGCTCTCCCACCTTCCCTTCTCATTTTCCTTTTAATTCTCTTTTCTTCATCTTCCTCCCTCCCTTTCTCTCTCTCTCCCTCTCCCTCTTCTTCTTCTCTCTCTCGCTCTATCTCTCTCTCTCTCTCTTTGCCTCCCTCCCCCCCCATCTCTCTCTGCCCCTCCCTATATATATATGATACGTCTTAGTCTTAGCGTTCAGGTCTCGAATTGCAAGCAGGAAGAGGTAGATTAGCACAACCATGTAGAATCTTATGTTCCTTATTTAACAAACATTTCGAAGGTGTCTAGATAAGCCATGCGGTTCCGAAGTAAATGAAAATACCAACAATTTGAATATTAGTAACTGATGGGATATAAGTACAAAAATGTTAACAATAAAGCAGATAGATGTAAAATGCAACAAAGATACATAAAATAAAAACAAAATGCATAATCGTAATCAAAATAAACTATGGACGCGTGATTCCCACGAAAGACGAGAAAACTAACCAAAATGGGTGTTCGTGGCGAGAGAAAGTCTGTTTGGTGAACAAGGTGTTGCGTTGTTCAGTTCTGGCTTTACCTTTACTATATGGAGGGTTTCTAAGATGATGTCTTGGCGAGGGCAGTGGGAGGACAAAGCACTCAAATCTGTTACAGAAACGATGTGAGTGTTACTGTTCTCGAGAAAGATGGTCTTGCTCAGCGGGAGGCCAGTCCGGAAACCCTTTCCATCGCGTTCTTATTTCCCTTTGTGATTCCACCTACGTAGCAAGGCAGTTTGGACAGGTGGAGAAGCACACTTCATTCGAACACGGGTCAGACCTGTAGTTCACTGGTTGTTTTATGAGTTTGTGAAAATAGTGTTGTTCTAAAAACAAAGATGAATTTAATCTGAGGTCAATTGCCTTATAAAAGATTTTTTTAATTGTTTCTTGATGTCAGAGTTTTGCCTTATCAATATATGTAGTTTCAATATTTAGGATCTCTTTTGGCCAGTGGAGACCGGTTGTGGAGTTGTTTTTCCCGTGATGTATTGTTAAGTCAATTTTGAATATATGTCAATATCGTGACCATATTGGTCTCATTGACAGGTTGTTTTCTGTAATGTCGATCTCCTGTAATATTCATACGGATTTTAGAGTTTCCTGATTGTCGACAATAATGTCCGATCGCGATTCACTCATGACACGCCCATCCTATGTAATTTGCTCGGTTTTTTCATCTTCCTGGGTAAACATAGTAAATGATAACCTAGTTAACATTGTTATTTATGCGTGTTTCGTCATGGTAACTTTTTCATTTAATACAAGCGCGCGATCTAAAATCTATTCTTGCAATACATTTTACCAATCTCAATATCATGTTATTTATGTTAAAGAAATGGCATCCATCGATGGATTTTACAATATACTAGTGATGAAGTAGAATAATTTAATATATTAATACACAGTTTTGTTGGAAGAGTAATGTTTCTCATCCTCTGTATGGGATAAAATAAATACCTATAGATCTAAGATCTAATTAAATCTTATTGTCTCAAACGATTCTTACCCTATTATTCTTATTGCGTATATGATCGTGAATAGTCTCATTTTA